GCCAGCGGTCTTCAAAGTGCCTAAAGTTATAGCGTTTGGGTTGGAGAGGGTAGACGTGCGCCGCTGAGGGGGCGGAGGCGGAGGTTTCGATGAACGGGTAATGGTTAGAGTGGACGCACTTAAAGAGTTTTTGCTTTGAGATAAGAGTTCATTCGTAGGACTGTTAGATCTGTCGGCATTTGTCGGAGTAATGGATCCCTCAGAACAGGCGACATTCGACTCATCATTCATTAGATCCAAAGAGTTGGCATAAATAGGATGCGATTCTGAGTATAGGGACGAATCACTAGTGGTTTGGCATTGATTTGAGCCGCAGTTAAAAGTGTATGGTTTGGTCGGAATTGAAGGCTTGTCTGGGATGACAGCGCGAGACGGCAGGTCTGGCCTATCGGTAATGCTGTGATTGTTGGGGGTTTGCACTACAATAGTAGTTGAATTGTGATTGTTTTGAGTGTTAAGAATGGAAACCATATCTTCAGAAGTATTAACAATATTAAGTGAATACGAATCGTGAGATTAGCCAGCGGTCTTCAAAGTGCCTAAAGTTATAGCGTTTGGGTTGGAGAGGGTAGACGTGCGCCGCTGAGGGGGCGGAGGCGGAGGTTTCGATGAACGGGTAATGGTTAGAGTGGACGCACTTAAAGAGCTTTTGCTTTGAGATAAGAGTTCATTCGTAGGACTGTTAGATCTGTCGGCATTTGTCGGAGTAATGGATCCCTCAGAACAGGCGACATTCGACTCATCATTCATTAGATCCAAAGAGTTGGCATATATAGGATGCGATTCTGAGTATAGGGACGAATCACTAGTGGTTTGGCATTGATTTGAGCCGCAGTTAAAAGTGTATGGTTTGGTCGGAATTGAAGGCTTGTCTGGGATGACAGCGCGAGACGGAAGGTCTGGCCTATCAGTAATGCTGTGATTGTTGGGGGTTTGCACTACAATAGTAGTTGAATTGTGATTGTTTTGAGTGTTAAGAATGGAAACCATATCTTCAGAAGTATTAACAATATTAAGTGAATACGAATCGTGAGATTTAGAAAGACTTTGATTTTTATCATAAGTGTTAATACTATGGGATCTAAGGGTGGGATCATTACGTTTATTAGAGGCCGGAATGCTTGATGTGCTCGAAGTACTGCCACTGCTTTGCTCAGAGAGACTCGAAACCTATTTTGAGATAAAATGTTTTTTAAGTCATATTCAAATCTATGCGCTTTTATTGCAATCAAATCAAAGTATTCTTTCAAATCATTTCAAACCTCATTATTCTTAAAATGATTGACATATTTAGCAGAAGTATATACAAGGGGTAACTGTGCGTAATGTACGACATTATAGTCCTGTGACATAAAACCAGAGTCTTGTGAAGAAATACTTGTGTGACGAAACACAGGACCCGCTCCTACACTCGGCTTCAGAGTATCAATCAAACCAAACATAAAGTCAAATAAAATTAAATGCAAATAAAATAAATGCAAAAATAATATCATAAATGAAATAAAGCAAAAACTACTCCAAACGCATGCAATGAAGCAAATGAAATATATTTTGCGGCAATAAATAGAAAAATAAAATAAAAACAGAATAAAAAAGACAAATAAAAAATAATAAAAAACTAAACAAAACTCTAAAGTTAGATATTATGTTGTGATTCAATCACGAATTCAATTATATTGTATTCATTGACTTTTTATTATAAACCAGATTTAATGTCAGTATTAATTGAATGAAAAGATTAACACAAATGGTGTCAAAGTGTAGTTATATTGTATAACTTAGTATTAGTATAAAATCGCGATTTAATGCACTATTGTTACGTTTTATTAATATATAGTGTGTTATATTGTTAAAAATCTTATCAGAAATAAAATTCAAGAGACAATACCTGTGAGAGGGAACGGTATCGGCAGTGATGGGAAGGCGAGTGAGTGCTACCACTTGAAGAGCTGTTAAAACTGCTGATCGAACACATACTGGATTTGCGGGAACCGAAAGACGAGGGACTGCTGGGAGGTGTCTGTAGAGAGAAGGCTACCGTATCCGATGTGCTCAGTCTTAGGTCCGATATGACTAATTCACTGGCAGTGGGCAGAGAGTAGGGATCGGCAGTGATTTTGCACAGAGAGTCCAGTATTTCCTGGAGATGTGTCACCTCCTGAAGCATTGCTAACTCTTCCTCAACCACTGGACGCAAAAAGTTGACAAACAAACAGAAATGACTCCTCTCTTCAATGAGTGCCCGACGGACAGCCTTCTTCTCCATCTCCTCAAATATGAAGAGCTTTTCATTTGCTTCCATTGAGTCCATAGATCTGGACATCGAGTGAAGACTATTCCAATTGTTGGAATCCATTCTCATTTTATTCCTCACGTGTTTCTTTAATCTCAATGTATTAGAAGTGGAGGCGTATAAGGCGTGTGAGGGGTCAAGGGTTTGCTTTTTCTTCAATTCTTGACGCAATCGCTTGTATTCTTTGGAGTGCTCTTTGTCTAACTGTCCGCAAGTCTTCTTCCACTCTTCAATCCTGTCCTGAAGGGGCAGAACCAGACAATCCATTATAGACGACGTGAATGTCTTGAGGCGCGCTTCAACTGAACGGTGACGAAGACATAGACGCGTTAAAGCGGTTCCGATCTCTTTAGTGCCGCCTATTATGCAGATAATGTGTTAATTAAATGTCATTTACACTAATTAGTAAATTTACGAAATGCTAATCATTTTATAATTATAATTTTGTTCTCATAAGCTATTTATTAAATTGACTTAAAATTTAAATTTCTAACACATTTTTATGCCTTAATTTCTAAGTCTATAACAGTATTTAAATAAATAAATAAAAGTAAACGGAAGAGTTGTTATGCAATAATGTATATTAATAGCACCGGTATATAAAAATATACTTTACATTCCTATCAATTTATAGCTTCAGATATCATCACGTTAAGTAAACAATGCTTATTATACAGTAAATCTTTTGATTTACCCCTAAACTCCACACAAACCGCAATACATGTCGGTGTGAACAACCATCAAATTTACATTATATAATACTGGTCAACTAGTCTAGTCTAGTGTAAAGGCCTTTCACACGGGACCCACATTTTGATGCATATCTTAAGAAGCTATGGATTACGCGAGTTTAAGTAGCTTTACTTAATATAAAATTAAAGTATTTAATAGTAATTTCGTGGACATAAATAGATATAATAGTACTTGAAATCTGATATAAATTCTAGTAATTTACGAATTATGAGTTCAATTAAAAATGAGATCAATTTTGGAGAAACATTCAATTGTTTCTTAAAGTTAACGATTATAGTCTAATATTTTTAGTAAAAATCCATTATTTCCCACTAAATGTTAATTAAAAGGCAAGTAATCCGCCCTCTCTCTCACCCAAAACCCATTTATAGATTATTTATTATGTCATAAGTAGAGCAATAGAGATATGCTTTTTATACGGTCTTTCTTTTTACAAATTATTACAATGTATTGCTTTGTGTGGGCCAATACAACATTGAGTTGAACACAGAATTGTGATTCATAATAATTATATCAAAATTAATTTTTTTAGTCCAAAGAATAAATTGAATACAAAAGTTTACAAATCAATTTTCTAATTATTTCTAAGCCTCTCTCTCTCTCTCTCTCTCTCTCTCTCTCTGTCTGTCTCTCTCTCTGTCTCTCTCTCTCTCTCTCTCTATGATTTTAGTATTTTCTAAAAATATATTCCTGTATAATAAAATAATTTTATTAATGTTAATATAAATTCTGCTTTATTTTAGCACAAATTTGCGAATATTAGGTCTAAATTCAAGTGTTTTATAAACGAATAAATGCATAACTGAGTGGTATTTCTCGCCATTCGTTATAACATGAGATATAACTGCATATAACATTTAAATAAATAAGCAGTGATTGAATAATAAACTATAAATTATAAGAAACTAAATAAGAAACACAAAAGTCGTTAAACTTTAGGAAGACGTGATACGCCTTTCAATACAAGGCTTTTGAAAAACGGGTTAATTATAATAAGAGATCATTTTTAGTAACACAATGAGAATGAGAGATGAGTCCAATAACTGGATTATAAACACAAGTTTTGTGTCTTAGAGACTCAGGTGAGGCATACAAGCCATAGGACGGGACATACAAGCCATAGGACGAGCCATACAAGCCATAGGACGGGACATACCTCTAGTACTGGTGGCCATATCAGCGATCTTCTGGAAGGCATCGAGAAATGCTGTCGAAGCAGATATGGTCGCTCTGGTGGCCACAAGACATCAGTGATCGCGTCACACAATCATAACAATTATAAAAAGAGAAATTAGTTTTCTTGTGACAAAACATTTCATTTGGTTTCGCTTCAAATCAAACCCATTTTGAACGCAAGAAAGGGTTTCCCATTACTATTCATCCATTAAATGACTATTCATTTGTTAATCAATTCTCCGCTTTTTTTCATTAGTCTATTCAATCATATGTTAAATCATATGTCAAACTAATTGCTTACTTGAGTTGTGTATGAAATTTGTTGGCCTTAACCACGAAGTCATCCCAATTGCCGGTTCCCGACTGTCATTAGGTTATCGCAAATAAACAAAACATACAATCAGTTATGTCTTAAACACCATATATTGAGACAAATCTAAACAAATATCGCTAAAGAGGATCAGATCCTTAACACCAATCACTTGTTTATTATTTTAATTGCTATTTTCCACTCAAAACTATATTTGCAATGTTTGCCAAAACTATTCACTAATCACGAAATGAATGAAAACTGGCTTTTGGTTCACATTTTAAGTTAAAATTTAAGTTAAATTAAATTTAAAGTTAAATTTAAGTTAAAATTTTTAACTCATTTCCAATCTTTTCGTATGAAAATCATTATTCATATCAATTGAATGCATTGGCATCTGATGGCTATGTCTTAAGATGATGTCTTATGTCTCAACATACCTTCATGTCATTGATGATGATCTGGAAGAGTCCTCCCAAAGCACTGCAATCCCTTTCGACCACAAACTGAGGCTCCATTAGATCAGTGATTTGATTGGACGAGAATTTTGATCAGCGCTAGCACTGATTAAGCGCAGGGTATAAGAAAATAGTGCATTGAAAATACACAGTGTAATGCCGCATGCAGTGTACACTTTAATGTGCAGCTATGCCAACACAACACTAATTCTTATGATAATTCTTATTACATATACAGTGCTGGGCGCCAGAGACGGTACTAGTTTAGTTTTGGAGCTCGTACACTCAAACCTTTGTTAACAGTGAATTGAATCTAAAGAACCTTGTCATAATACAATACAGAATTTGCTAAGCTGGCAATCGGAATTTGTTGATTGGATATGAACGTCCATTCAATGCTGAGTCAGAATATGTAATTTATATTGTCCTGTGACTTCGGGATTGGCCGGAGTGACCAGTTTTATCGGGAAATATTTTATATAAAATGTCAACATGTTATATATCAATTTTATAGAGAATTTTACGTAGAATACGATGATATTAATTTAATTAATAAATAACGTCATTTTAACCTAACAATTGTTACATAATAGCTTAAAAATCTTTATAATAACGTTATATTTGTTAAATTTTAATCTTTCATAATTGTAACTTACATATTCGAGTTCCTTATAAAATTCTTCACAAAATTGATATATCACATATTTATATTTATTATGATAGAATAAACCGATAAAAGTGGTCACTCAAGCCGAACCGGAAGTCCCAGAACAAACTAAATAATATTTTATGACTTCTTATAAAGAGTACTTTTATATTAAATTGTAGAACCCAAATTGCCAGCTTAGCAAATATTACCTTATTTGACCTCAAAGACCACTTTTATTAGTTTATTTTATAATAATAAATATAAACATGTGATATATCAATTTTGTGGAGAATTTTATAAGGAACTTGTTTAATAAACCGATAAAAGTGGTCACTCAAGCCGAACCGGAAGTCCCAGAACAAACTAAATAATATTTTATGACTTCTTATAAAGAGTACTTTTATATTAAATTGTAGAACCCAAATTGCCA